TGAAAAATAACACATTTATGACCCAACCACCAAAATGGGCCTTCCAGATTTTGAAGTACTTTTGGCAATTTACTTTTCACTTTTTATACCACAAATTATATATCTACGTGTTCACTATATTACAAGGAATATAAAAAAGTATAATCCTTTCGTTTTTAGTCCAGACACAAATATAAAATTCTATAAAAAAAGACGGAGCACCTTCATCAAAGCGACACGTGGAACGCCGAAAGTTCAGAGTGATTTCTTTTTTTTTTCTAAGAAACATTGCCAGGTTATGGTTTAAAATAAAGGAGCATATCTTTGTCTTTGATACTATTATCTATTGCATATTGTCTTTGGTTTTGTTTTAAAGGAAAAAATAGTTTTTTCATAAGGCAGTACTTCTGATCCGACCTGATCCAGACCCGTACCAGAGCCGACGTAAGGTAGGTTTTGTATGATCTAAAGTGCGCACCGCTTGGCTTACGGTTAAGTATGGTTTAACGCTCAGAAGATACAACTTTGCACGTCAACCACTAAAAAGAACCACTTTGTGGTATCTCCTCAGCGCCAAGGCACTCCCCTTGTTGCCTCAGCCAGTATCGGAATCATCGGCGTCGACATATTGAGTGACGTGCAGTTTCGTGGTCACTTGGAAGAGAAGGCCAAATTGGCCTCTAAAAGGCTTGGCGTGCTCAGCAGAGTAGGACAGTACTTCATGCCGGCACACCGCCTGCAACTTTAAAAGGTGCAGGTTCGGCCGCACATTGAATACTGTTCCCATCTCTGGGCTAGGGCTCCCCAGTGCCAACTGCTTCCACTTGACCGCAGCTCGAATCTTTAACAAAATCTTTAAAAAAATCGATTAACTGGCGCTGCGAAGAGATGTTGCATCTCTTTGCATTTTCTTTCGCATATACCACGGGGAGTGCTCTGAGGATTTTTCGGATTAATTCCAGCCGCCAAATTTCATGAACGAACTACGCGGAAAAGCTCCCGATAACATCCACACCATCTGGATGCTTGGCGGACCACCACTGTACGTTTCACTAGGAGTTTTCTTCCGCGTACGACCTCTCTGTGGAATAGATTACCACCGGCGATTTTTCCGGACCGATACGACCAGGGAGCTTCAAGAAAAGAGCTTACTCCTTTCTAAAGGGCCGGCAATGCACATGTAATTCCCTGGTATTGCGGTTGTTCATGGGCGGCGGTAGTCACTTATCAGGTGAACCGTATGCTTGTTTCCCCCTCTTCTATAAAAAAAAATCTCGCGGGTGTCGGTACATCAAAGAGTTTTAGCGCGTCAACATATCGCACTGGGTCAGATTATAGCGTTGTTCATTTCGGCCGTTGTTTTCGATCAGTTCAGACGCATGCAGGTGGCTGTGTAAAAGTGGAGTGGAGTGATGAAATGGTACTGGAATTACTCTTTTTAGATTTTAATGAATGCATTATGTAATTGTTAGCATACATGTAGAAGTAAAGAAATTCGTTGTCCATAGTTTAAAGTTTAAAAAGGATTTCAGCCATCTTGGATTATTGCAGTAAAGTTCACGCAAAATATCGAAGCCGCTAATATGACCATAGCTTTTATCTCGATAACTTTTTATATAGTGTTAAAACGTACAAAGTTTCGGCACGTATTAGGAGAAATTATTAAGAATGCTCGTATATGCACATAAAGGCGCTGCGCTTTATTTATTACGTCACTCCTTATAATACTTTCTGTAGTTGGATAGACAGCGTCGCCTTACTATACAATTACTTCAGCACCTGGATATTCCGACTGTCAACCTGGCACCGTCGAAAGGACATTAGCACAGCTCGAATCAGCGACTTTATCCAGCCTATATAAGGCTTCCAGGGACCATGCCTTATGACACCTAAAGTTTAGGATCTCTTAAATAAATAAACTTAAATATCATTATCATCATGGGTCATCTTGAGCATAGTCATTATGGGCTCCGTATGAAGGAAAAGTATTAGTACGTTATACGTGGTAGAGCCACGCTGCAGCTATATTATATTTTTGTAGCACGAATGGGTCGGCTCGACCGAGGAAGGACTATGCTCTCACAGAATACCAGTGTAAAATAGCAGCTTAATACTGCTGTGTTTCATATGGTGAGTGTAGAGATCCGGAGACCCTTTTTTACCGGAAACGAGACATTCCATCTTGTCCTCAGGGGTACAACGGACCCGCGTTTTGATTCTTAATCAAGAATAAATGTAGATGTCTATGGGCCACAGCATCCACTTACCATCAGGTGGAATGTCTGCTAGTTATTCTATAAAAAAAGTAGAGCGTGTGCAAAATAAATATGCGAGAAGCTCAAAGGTAGTTAAACTTTACTATTATACCCGTTGATGTATCCTACTCTATTCGTACTGAGTATGGTGGGGCGTAATAAAATAGAAATACGTCGATAGTGGAGAATACAATGTGAAACGGTTTTTAGATGTATAGTGTTGTGGTCCGATTTTAGAATTAATCATATCATAAAGTAGTTGATCATTTTATGAAATGGTGGCATGTGGTCTATGGTGCGAGGGATTTCTAACGGCTCGCCGGAGAAGCTGGAATTCGTTATGTGCATGCGAGATGATTCTTCAATAAGTTTTACCACTTTTCTTAAATAATAAAACCACCACATCCCAGCTCCATACCATCGGTGTAGCACCACTTATCGCTTCTCGCCATCTTATCGCTTATAAAAACGTTATCAATTAAGAAATAAATTGATCATAACTACGTTTAAGAATAGGTACTTTACTGTAAATATGTTGCATCTTGCATATAGTTTGAATACCCGCATTATAATGTTTAATTGATATTTGTATGTAGCTTAGTGACCCCAAAGTAAAGTAATTCCGCTATCTCCACTGTAGTCCACTCCAATAAAAAAAATTATAGTGCATGGCTACAGGAGTCACAAGTTTGAAAGGCTATAACTTTATATTTTAATTCAGGTAAGTTTTGCGTTTGGAATAAAATAAAACAAAGATTTGGTTTATTAAAAAATTTAGTAGATATATCATAAAATGTCACAATATAGCCTTGGATTTAACACGTACAAACAAACATTTATTTCAAAACAACGGTTGATAATACTTTGCAGAAGAGCACTTTCAATTCTGTTTTTTGAATTTTTTTAACTGTTTTATAGATTATCATTGTATAATTTTATGTAATAATGCTGTTCCTTTTATATTCAAAAGTAGTTTTTTTTCTGAACATAATATTTTTTAAATCTATAGAATAAAATTTATTCTTTTCAACATAGCTACATATATTTAAACTTTAACAACAGCAGTCCCAGGTCCCATTAAATCAATTCAAAATTTATTTTTCACCATTTATAGATATCAATAAAGTATTTAGATATTAATATACAGTCCATGTATGTTTCAAACCCGAGGACATGACTTTGCTGTAACAGTAAAATTTATTTAACACTTTTCGATAGTTTAAATTCTCTCCTGAAGGTATTCTGTTTATAAATATAGATGGGAACAGTCTTCATACAATATAATATATCTTTTTCCTTTTAGTCCAACATTCAATAAAACTTAGTTAAAAGTAAGAGGAAGCCTGCCAATATCATAAAATTGTATGTTTCAACTCTATTAATATTATTTGGTTCAATGCACAGCAATTTTTCAGTAAAACTAGTTTATATGTAACAACGTAATTCTAATAACAATAAAAAAACTCAAACCTTCGATTATCGCCTATATGATATAATATTGAATATTAAAACATTGATTGCAAGGCTCCCTCTGAGACATAAAAGCTTACAGAGTAGTGAGAATCGACGTCTATGTGGAAGGACTAGACTACAAACAAAAATGAATGAGTATACAATCACACAGAGAAATGCAAGCATTCTTCTTATATCAAATGGAATCTTTTTATGACGTAGACACAGTCAATATTTACATTATGAGAAGTTTTTAGAAAAGCTGCCGAATACCGAATATTAAACGAATATTCGGCCCATCTCAAGACAATGACTAATTACTGATACGATCGTATTGGAACTCTGATTATATTATTATATAGTTGTTCTTGAATTCTTTTCTCTGCAATATTATTACTATCCAAAGATTCATTTTCCAACAACAGATATCACAAATTGAATCATCAAAGATCCGCATTCAGCTTAACATAAAATAATAATTACTGACTTAATAAGGTATACTATACATACAAACAATGAATAAAAGAATTAAATAATTTGGTGAGCTAATACTTTTAGTAAGTTAAGTCCGCTAAATTAGTATTACGTAAAGCAAAAATAATTCAACAACGGATGGCTGCCAAAACAACAATTTGTTGATAAAACCAACAGCTGACAATAATTATTCCTTTGATAAAAACCTATAACATAAAATTTGTCAAAACTAAACATGTTCTCATGCTATGATACGTACTATAAATATAACCACTAGGATTTGATATCATGCGCCTATAATCAAAGACTTTTTAAGCGGTTTTATAGCAAAAAGTGATACATACATTTAAATATATATAAATTAGGAAAACTCGCCCGAGTGTATGCATGTAAGAAGCTTAATATTCTGGGGGTGTGATAGAGTGCGAAAGTTAACAAATAATAATAAAGCAACGGACGATTATTTGTGCCTCGATTATGAAAACTGCTAGGAAATTAGGAAAATAATAATAATGATAAATCTCATTAAAGCTGTAACTTTCTGTCGTTCTCAATTTCTTTGAGCAAGCGTAATTCGACGAGCTTTTAGCGGCATTTATCGCTTTTATTGAAACTAGCATAGTCATCAAATTCCCGGTCGTAAAATCGTCAATGCCAAGCTTACCGGTTTAACATTGAACAAATTAACCATTATTGGTATTAACATAATTATAATTCGATGACAAAAATTACATAAGTAACTAAAGAACAATGATAATCGACCGTCGCTTGCGGAAATACGACTAACGTGTTATAGTGCAAGTTATCGGGCGAGGCATGGGAAGAGTGAAGTTGCATTTTCTATTCAGGTTCAGGCGAATCTGGCGCGTCCAGAGCGACGACAGTAGTGGCGGCCGCACCGCGCACCTTCTTCAAATAGCTGACGCTGTCGAACTCCAGGCAACTCTGTAGATACCAGTCTAGTCATTATTACTTGCGCTGAACCTCGTCAATCAATTCTGCTAATTATGTGTTTTTTTATCAAAGTTATATTAACCATTCTTCCGAGCACGTCTTGTAATAAAGTTTAGTTATAATTTTTGAAATTTATCATCATGTGCGAACAAAGAAATAAGGTAGATTAACCGATCCGTTGACACCAATTTTCGACAACTTTTAGCAGTGGCGGCGAACAAATATTTCGTGACACGCCTGTCGTGTCAAGCGCCAAAGAAGTTGATGGCACACCCATTGTGCCATCGGCCATGTGTAAAAATAATGTTCTTTTTTATGTTTTTTTTTTTTCACTTGTTTAGACCTGATTAATTTATTATAGTTGACATCAACCATCAGTTGCAAACGGAATATTACTTGTTTAGTGATTAACCACGTGTTTTTCTCCGTGTTTTCTTTGAAATGGAGAGTGACTTTTTTATGCAGAGATTACAATCCTTTTATACTATTTTTTTTATACAAAAATTATTTATACAGTGTGTTAGTGTAAACACCGTTGTCCTTGAAACCAGTGGCTTGGTTTCACTTATAGAACGTAAATTCAATGAAAAATAACAACATTTTTTTTAGTAAATCTCAATTTTTTTCTTAATTGCTCATTTTTTGGATGGATGAAAGTACGAAGGAAAGTTACATCACAGGTTATAAGTACCTATTGTGTTTTTATTGGAATGTTGTGTACATAGCTAGCGCGGGCGGTGATCTTTACGGCGCCTCTACACGTTGGCAACACAGTGGCGAATGTAGTGGCCAATAGCATTGGCCAACGTGTAGACGGGGTGTTTGGGCTTCATTGGTATGTATTGGAACGATGGCCCGCAAGTTGGCGCGAGATCCCTGTGGTGTCGTTTTTTTACAAAAGATCAAAGGATTGTTGGCAGAGTTTGGTCGCCGCGTCCACACGTTGGCCGCGAGTTTAGTTTGCTACAAGCTCCCAGAGTGATTGCACGCATCTGATTAAAATTTTATATTCACGCTTTGTAGGGTGGATAACCAATTACCAGCCTTTTAGTGCCAATTTCAACTTTAAACATTCTTACTACTTTAATTAGCGCGATTTAATTATTTTTAAACATTTGTTTTAATCGGTAAGCTATTTATAAAAAAAATAATGAACATTTATTTACAATCAGATTATTACGAGAACAATTTTAAAATGAAAAAAAAAATGAAGCACGTCGTTTATACGTGGTAGAACCATGCAGTTATATTAGAAGTATAGTTGTAGCACGAATAGGTCGGTTCGACCGGGGAAGGACCACGCTCTCACAGAATATCAATGTAAAATAGTAGCTTAATGATGCTGTGTTTTGTATAGTGAGTGTAGAGAACCAGAGACACTTTTTAAAGGAAACGAGGCATTTCATCTTAGTCCTCACGGGTGACAACGCATCTGCAATTTGATTCGTAATCGAGGATATATGTAGATGTCTGTGGGCCACAGCAACCACTTACCATCAGGTGAACTGTGTGCTCGTTTGTCACCCTATCCTATATAAAAAAGCGTCGATTTCTTATAATTTAATCGTGCAAGTTTTCGAATCATCATCATCGTTACAGCTCTTCACAAGTCCACTACTGAACATCCTCCCTCCAAAGAATGCCGCAAAGCATGGTCCTGTCCTGAGCAACTTTCCTTGTCATGAGTTTTTCATTTATGTTTTAAGTTATAATTAGTACCTATTATTAAGTCAGTGTTAATTATATTTATTGCTATTGTTTTTGTCTTTGTCAAAATATAATTAAATTATCAAATAAATTATAAGGTGTTTTTTTATATACATCAAATGTCTGATAGAAAAGCAAGTACATATTTTGCTAAACATTAAAAACACAACCCAATTTTAAAACATAGACTAATCGATTATAACTCCTTTAACTTTAAAATAAGTTAATTTCTAATTAATGGTATTTATTCCAGTTTCTGATGCATGTAAAGAATAAATAAAGCTAATCGTATATCTATTTACAACCCCATTAATATTCACTATTCTTTTATAATTATCTTATAAAAACTAAACCCCCCCCCACACTCGGATTTTCTCCTGTATCGCGGAGGCAGCTTACAAACATAAATTGCACAAGGACACACATCCAAACCCGAAACAATTATTTGTAGGATATACAAATACTTGTTCCGTGCGGGATTCAAACCCGCGGTCCCCGACACAACCACTCATTGATAAGCCACTGCGCCATGGAGCCGTCGTCTAAAATAAAATAAATTCGTCCGCACATTGGCCCGAACCGAAGTAAACTGACGACCACGTTGGACGTCGTCACCAACTGCAACCTTCCCCCCTTTTTTCGCCCCCCTTAGAGGGGCCCCCCACCCCCGAAGCCACCAATGGGGGAAAGAAGAATTTTTTAAAAAAAAAAAAAAAAAAAAAAAAAAAAAAAATTTATTATAATTTGGATTACACTCCCCAAAAATATTATATAAAAAAAAAAAAAAAAAAAAAAAAAAAAAAAAAAAAAAATTAAGTGTATTTAATAATTTGTTTAGATTGTTCAATATTTCTCGACATTTTTTATTAGTTTATGTTAGTAGCCAAAGATAGAAAATTAATCTCATTTTGCAAAGCTTATTCAATTACATTCAGTACTCGGCTACTCGGCTGTTACTAAACTTGACTTTATGGAAATGCATGTGTGGCGTTAAGTTAAAATTACAGCCTATATTTGTCCCACTGCTGGGCACAGGCCTCCTCTCATTTTTGAGAGGGTTTTAGGGCAAGGGAATGTTCGCCGCGCTGCCCCAATGTGCGTTGGCGAACTTCACATGTCTTCGAAATATTTTTTTCTTATTTCTCAGACATGCAGGTTTCGTCACGATGTTTTCCTTCACCGCCGAGCACGTGGTATATTACCACTTAAAATAGCAATTAACAATTTCATTGGTGCCTGCGGGGCTCAAACCCTCAAGTATGTACTGTGAAATATAACCCCTGAGCTACCACGGCTACACGTGTGGCGTGGTGGTAAGTAATACCAGAGTGAACGAGAGTAGACCAAAAATGTATAAGATTCAAAACGGAGTGGCAAACTCAGTAACTGAACAGATGAAATCTTGCAGCAAATCAACGGAAAAATTGCGATCTAATAGCTTACTGATGATTGATTAGTTTTATGTAATCAATTTTTGCACGCACCTCCATTTGGCATAAATAGCTTAGTGGATAATGTAAATATTAAATAAATAAAGGGATCTCAAGACCGCCGTTAGTAACTGGTTCAATTTCTAATTGTGAGAACTATAGTAGTTCTCACAATTAGAAATTGAACACACATAGCGGGGAAGTTTTAGCTTTTTTAACTTGTAATTGTTGTTGTGCGTTGGTTTAATTTACACTAGAGAAATCCTAATGGATACCCTCCGCTGCGGACCGCAACGAATAGGTTATGGTAGACTTTTACAGGACAATCATTAGCACATTACGAAAATTGCCGAAAAGCGGATGACGACCATATACTTAAAAGTGAAGTAGTATTGTTGGAAACTAAAACCTACAATGGCTTTCTTATGTTAACTTTTTACGCCCGATTGGCTTACTTTCTGAATATTCCTCGTTCTGTTCAAAGTGGTGTAATATAAAAGGTAATAAGTAGTGTTGTCACCTCTGTGCGCAATTTAACTGGATTAGACAAAGGGCTCAAGTTGTAACAATAACATCTAAAGTTAAAAGTTGGAACATAGAAAATGATTTCATAATATTGAAAGAAGTAACATAAAACTCTTAATTAAAAATCGCTCATGCAGAAACAAAAATATAATCTATGTATGCCGCAACAAATATAATACACTAGTCACAAAATTAAGGGATATAAAAAATTTTTTGGGTGATTTTCAAAAAGCTGTAACTCCGATGAAAATGATCGTACAAGTGGTAAAATTAAAAATTTTATACAACCAAAGTAATTACGACCGAATCAATGTATTCGAAGACAATTAAATTAGCATTATTAAAGCTAACTCGAAAACTAATAGTCATATCTTGATTAAATTTATATTGGGGACCACACAAGACGCAACAGCTTTCAGATAAAAAAGAATCATCAAAATAGTTTCACCCAGAGAAAGTTATGGGTAACATACAAAAAAAACATACAGTCGAATTGAATACCTCCACCCTTTTGAAGTCGGTAAAAGCAAATTGTAGCTCCATGTCTAGTTTTCAAATTTTGCCATGAATTTTTTTTATCCGGTTTGGTTCTGGAGTAATCCTAAGGAAACTACCGAAAAAGATGATTTTAAATTTTTGCTCGTCTTAAAAAGGTCTCTACATGGGCTTCAAATTTTTTTTTCATTTTTTCACTAGAAAGCTCTTAGAAAATGTAATACCCTTTAATTTGACGTAATCAAAAAGCCTGTACGATGATTTGCCGCGGAGTTATCGTCAAACAAAGCGTAGAGAATAATTTGTGTTCTGTGATCAAAGCAAAAAAATTCTTATTACTTTGATAATAATCAATAACTCCGGAAATATAGATCGTATAGGAAATTGAAGGAGGGTTTTGAAATTTTTTTTCGAAGCGTTAACTTTGACTGAAAAAGGATAAAAATTCGCATAATTAAGGATATTTGGATAACTTTGTAAAAAATGTATAAGCGAAGGATATCGTCGGTAATTTACAACTTTAAAGTGTCCCGAAAAATGCTTGAGAAATTCAAAACACTGCGATTTTTTGTCTTAGTGCCGCGAAGCTTCAAATTAATCGTTTTAGCAAAAAATAACCATTATGAGCAATTTGTCAATACTTATTAATTTTTATAATTTTTTTTTCTCGTTAATCTTTATTTCCTCGACCAAAAACATTGATTTTAGAAACAAATCCTTCAATTTTCTATACTATCATTATTTCCAGCTATAGATTATCAAAGTTAAAAAGAACTTTTTTGCTTTGATTGATGATATCTCCGCGGCAAATCATCGTACAGGCTTTTTGACAAGTCAAATAAAGGGCATAAAACTTCCTAAAAGAACTTTCCTTAAAAAAATTGAAGCCCTTTAGATTTATAGACATTTTTTAAGATGAGCAAAAATTTGGAATTTTTTTTTTTTTGGATAATTTCCTTAGGATCACTCAAGAAACAAGCATGATAAAACAATACTTGGTCAGATTTGAAAACTAGACACTTGTAGCTACAATTTGCTTTTTTTGCTTTACGATCATTTTCCTCGGAGTTACATCTTGTTGAAAATCCCCCACAAATGTAAAATTTTAATAGCCCTTAATTTTATTTACATCGTATAGGTAGTAATAAATTAGCAGATTTGAATGCACCCATTTAAATACTAAACATGATGCCTGTATCCAATTTCATATGCCAAAATAGTTATTAAAGAACAGTAAATTTTGCCATATATTCATTCTCATATATTCAGCACATGCCATAACCGATTTGCGGTGTATGTGTGATACTGCAGCCTCAGAGCAGCCATAATTTGTTATAAGCATGGGTAAAAGCGGCAAGAAAAGAAGTAACTTAGAAATGTTAGCATCGCAGTCGTTAGTAGGTAAGCAGCAGAACAAGCAAAGACAGATACATATGAAAATTTATTTGAAAATCAATTTCACAATGATATATAACACTTTTGAATTTAACAATTAAAGTAAATCATAACAATAAAATATCACCTCGACATGTTACAGATCAATGTTATTTCAATTCGCTGGTGTGTTGTCTATCTACCTGTAGCGAACCCCTCTCGAATACCCATTCTATCCACGCAGCGTGAACAAACAATGTCAATTTATACGAGCTTTCTAAAAATACATTTTTATAAATACATTCAAAACATACATAAACACAAAAATACACCAACATGTAATTGACATATTTACGAAAGTTCTTTAATTAAATATTTTTAATACGAATTAACTTACTGGGTTTATTTATCATCAGTCTAATATTTATTATCTAGCAACTATGAGATCAAGAAGATCGTCTTAAAACATTAAGTTATTACATAAATTTAGAAGCCAATACAGTATTTACTGAAAGCAGCCAAACACATTTATAATCAGTCTCATCGTAAGGACTTTATGTCAAGCTTAATACTAATAAAGTCAGGTACCCTTTGATGATTAGACTAATTCCCTAGGAACATTTTCTGGTCATGGTGTAATTATTTAACTAATTTTCTTCGACAGCCTTATTAACAGACATTGCGAGTTAAAAAAAGCAAGGTAGTAAAAATGCATCTACATACATCGTGCAGTGGCAAGCATTATTACATATATTAATGCAATTGCGCGGTGTCTTGAAACAATTCGAATGTGTTCTACTAACTAATAATTTACAAATAAATGACGTGAAAGTTAATCAAGGTTGCATTTACAGAACCAGAAAACTTATCACATTAAAAAAATAGAATAATAAATTCTAAAATATATAGAGTACATTCGAATTGTTTATTTCCAGGCGATCATCAGACGACCACGTGAGTTCTTTTTAAAATCAAAAGCAAACATAAATTTAACCCAAAATTAAAAAATCCCGCGTGGTTGTCGACATGAAGCGGGCGTGGGAGAAGGGAAGCACGCAGCGGAGCTCTACAGACGGTCGCCGACGCTCCGACCGCTCGCCGTCGCCTCGCTGTAGTGCTGGGAAAGCAAAGGATTCGGCAAAGATTCGGTTTTAAGCTGTATACCGCGCTGCCGCTACACAAAAATACGTTGTAGATGGCGCATAATGTAACAAACGTACAGAGCAACATCATTACAGTAAGAATGAAGTCATTTCACGGATCATTGTGCTAAATTAAAGGCCGACATCACGGATGACGCCTATGCAACACAAGTTTAATAAGCTTTGTGCGAGCCTCTGAAGTCAATAGAAGTTGCGGCACAGCAGCGCGGCGAGGTAGTTGGGGTGGTGCAGCGGGGGCCAGACGCGGAAGGGCGTCAGCAAGCGCTGGGACAGGGGCGCGTGGAGGGCGTGCGGAGAATGGGGGGCGTGCGGAGAGCGAGGGGCGTGCGCGGCGCGGGGCTCGCGGCGCTGCGTTACCTTGCGCGCCAGCTCCGGCGGAAAGCCGGCCAGGCCGGCGGGCGGCAGCTTGCTGAGCGGCGAGTCCGCGTACTGCACCAACGTCTCGTACGTGTACGTCTGCCGCGCGCCCCCACCACCTGCCGACACACGCACGCATTATACACACACGATGCTACTGCCTGACGAGCCAAGTAGACGACTGTCTCACGTTCCCAAACTGTTCAATCTGGTGCAAACGGCCCGGATTATAAGCGCTGATCTTAGCTTTAGTTGGTTCTTGAGACAAATTGCGAGGCGAGACGAATACGGCCGCCAGATCCTTGCATTGTTCGTTTTGTAATCAGTAGTTTATGCATGCAGTATGTAAATTTAAACAATTGCATTGTTGGATAAAAAATTAATCTGCTCAACAATATCCTACAGTGTCCAGCGTTAAAAATTCATTCACCCTAGGATGGATACTAGGAAACGCGTGTTCATCTATCCACGCCAGACGGGGTGGATAATCGGAATTCTTATATATATTATTTTCTTCCTATTTTCTCCCTCGGCTGTGTACAGTCATTTATAGAAACATGATAAAAGCTAGCTCCAGATTGAATAGATATATATATATACTTCTTGTTTGAAACGTGAACGCTGAAATAAAAGGAGTACCTCAGAAGATTATAGATTCATTGGAATTTTGGCATAAAATACATTAAAATGAAGTTAAAAACAAACTTATGATTGTAAAGTTTCTGGATATCTTGCAAAACCGCCCAGTTCGTAGCTAACACATCTCTCTGTGGTAGCAAATAATTTAAAAACAACTATTGCAAATTTACATTAAAAGTGACGCATTTATCCAGGATATCAAATTACGTCTACTCAATAATGAAATTAGTGTTGGTTATTGCCTAGAGATATTACAGAATTTGTAAATTACGCAATAATATTATTTAAAACGAGGAAAGGTGATTTGAATACAATACTTAATGCGTAATAATAAAACGTAATGCGTGGACTTTAATAGGATAACTATAACAGTAACGGCAATACGTATTAAGTTTTTGATGAGGTTTGTGGTTATTAAAATTAGTTAATAATTAAATCGTTGAACTGCACTTTGGGTAAAGTCATAAAAGTAAATTTTGATTATCCACCGTCTGGCGTGGATAGATGAACACGCGATTCCGAGTATCCACCCTAGGGTGAATAAACGGAATAACCCGGAACCTACATTTTTCATTGGTGGAAGGAAAAACAATCATGTAGAATTTAAGCAGAAAAGAAAACCAAGGTAATTTAAATATACGAAGCGATAAACTAAATGCAGTCTGCTAGTAATATTAAGTTCCTTTTGCAAGTTTGTTGTACCCTGCAGATGAAAAAAATATTATTATCAAATTGAACTTAATAAACACAATAAGGTGTTCGTTAAACAATGTTTCGAATGAAATGGTAAGGAGCCGATATCATCACTAATATTATCAAGACGATATGCGTAACGAACATTTTCTTAACACTATATTATGTTTTGTGAGGGGTATATTTATCCGTGAAGTGTAGGCATTATCTAATATTTATGAGAGATTGAGACTTGAAGCACGCGCTCGTTCCTAAAACGTGACTTGTTGCAAACTACAGAAGCAAACTTATAACACCTATGTGTCCCTCGACAACTAGAGTATAGTATCCGGACATATTATATAATTACCCTTAAGTTAATAATAACACACAACACGTTAATTAAAAAATATTTTATACGCTATTAAGCATGCACGCAAGCAACTGGTTAAGCGATTGCATCTATTATTTCTCTAAAACCATTTCAACAGCAAGGAATAGAGGACATGCTTTGCAAGATTGCACATTCCACCGAGCAGCGGTTAAGTCCTTTAAAATCTAATAATCAGCATTTATTAAACGTAAAAAGGGACTTATTGCACTGCATGTATTTTGACAATATTTTTTTTTATAAAATAGGGTGACAAACGCGCACACAGTTCACCTGATGGTAAGTGGTTGCTGCGGCCCATAGACATCTACATCTATCCTCCATTAAAAATCAAAATGCAGATGCGTTGTCATCCGTGAGGACTAAGATGGAATGCCACGTTTCCAATAAAAAGGGTCTCCGGTTCTCTACACTCACCATACGAAATACAGCAGCATTAAGCTACTATTTCACGCTGGTATTCTGTGAGAGCGTGGTCCTTCCCCGGTCGAGCCGACCCATTCATGCTACAACTATACTACTAATATAACTGCAGCATGGCTCTACCACGTATAAACTCGTAATTACAAAATTTTATCAATTTAAATTTATGTAGTAATGAGCCAACAAATTTTTTTTTATTGGTCGGGATTTTTATTGAAAAGGGTGAGAAACGAACACACAGTCACCTGATGGTAAGTGGATGTTGTGATCCCATAGACACCTACATATTATTCTCGATTAAAAATCAAAATGCACATGCGTGTCACCCTTGAGGACTAAGATCAAATGCCTCGTTTCTAGTAAAAAGATTGCCGATTCTTTTTACGCTCGACCCGTTACATACGAACGGCGTCGAGCCGACTCATTCGTACTGCAACTAATATACCTGCAGCATTTCTCTACCACATATAATGTCGGTATGACATCCAGCATACGCTCGACACAACGATGCAGTATAGAGTTATCGAGCGCAAATTAAGCAAGAGATGTACATCGCGTTGATCCCGGCAAGATTTCAAAAAGACACTTTTAAGTTCTGTTATACCGACGAATGAGAAAAGGGCCTAAGCCTTATAAGGCGTTCAAAAACAGTCACATGCATAAGACCTTAATCCATCCAATATTTTGTTAATAACTGACTTCTGCATAGATATGTAGTGAAAAATGCTACCACGTCATGGAAATGATGTTTATGAATTTTGATACTTTAACCGTTAACTTAAATTACTAATTAATAATTACCTTTCGTCTATACATAATATAAATGGATGATTATTCTAAAGCCTATTCGGCGAAAGTTGATATGTATGCTTGTAAGTAGGGTTTCTAAATTCATTATAAATTGTGAACCGCTAATTATTTTTGCTGCTAGTTAATAAAAAAAGTCGTTACGTCGCACCATGGGACCAAACGACATGTTCCATATCATAAATGATTCAGACAAAAGTTATGTTACTGAAACCGTTTTGATTGTTTTATATTCTGAGAAGATAAAGCTATCTGATATAAAAGTACAAATAATTAATAATCAGTTTTAGGTATATAAAATTACGCCCAAACTTTGAACTTCGATAATTTCACATTAATTAGATTACTCATTATGGAAGTTCAACTTAAGTTATTTTCTAAGTTCTTCAAGGAAATAAGTATTATACAGGTTGTTTGGAAGGTCGATGCAAAGCCGTAAAGCGGAGCTAGTATAGACTATGCAGAACCATTTGAGCCCAACTTGTCTTGGACGAAGTGCGACTACTATTTTTTTATCAAGCTTTAATGATTTTTGATGACAAAACCCAAAATTTTGGAGTTAGTTGTAAATTGTGGCCAGTTTGAAAGACAAATCATTTACTTTTTATTTTATTTTATTAAAGTAATGTAAATTTATTATTATAATTATTATTATTATGTGTAACCAGTCTAATGTAACATGATTCAGGCATCTGTGTCATGAAATAAGTTTTTTACAGATATTTGAAGTCAATGATTTATTCAAAGATCGAGGAAAATTGTTATTTGACGGCATTAAAAAAATACGGATGGTGTTGTTTTCGTTCAAACATTTTTAAAAACGTGCCTGGTTATTGTTCTTTCTGGCGCCTGCATGAGTGCGTAATGTACGCCTATCAGTCACCATCCGTTTTTTATTAATCATGATTGATGGAATTTATTGACGCCTGCATGAGCGTGTAATGTACGCCCTAAGAAACATTTTTATAATTAAATTTTTATTTTTTGTCATAAGAAAATCCGTCTGTTTGATTTTAAAATTGACGTTTCTTTGTAACTGCCGATGTCGAGTTAATGTCATTTTTACATTCTTTTAACTATTTTGTAATACAAGGAAATAAAAAATACTTCCGTCATTACCGCGCCATTTCAAGCTAGAAGCAAAAAAGGCAATTGAGGGAAAAAATAAATTAATGACTCTCATTATTTACACTTATTTCTGACATTTGTGGATACAACAAATTACTTGTTAGTGTTTGTTTACAATGAATTTAACGAGTAAGCACAAAATATCATAGGTATTTAATATTTGGAAAAGTATTTTCACACGAGATTTTTTTGTGTGATAATTTTAACTACAGCCACACTTGTGATAAAAACGATGATGTATTTGATGTGATAATTAAAATCAGTATTTTTATAGCATTCTTGTGAGAACTATTTTAATCGATTTTTTTTTAATTTTAATACATAAATTAAATTTTTAAAGTGGCGATGTTTCAATTATCTAATAATATAAGTATTGTATGTACAGTCAATCGGGGTAACTTTGATTAACAAGGGTAACTTTGACAGTCAAACCGCAAAATACCTTTTTATTTTCTACGCGAACAACATTTAGTGCATAATATTGAATTTATACTTCGTAAACGAACTCTCCAGAAAAAAAGTAGCTGTAAAACAAATTTAACTTAAAAACTTATTTTAAAGTACCGTTGCGTAACTGTTGTCTTTTTGCAGTGGTAAACTTTTAAAGAGGAATTTTAATTATGATTACCAAAAAGTTTAAATAAAGATAGTACTACAATTTTATGGTTTTATTGACTTGTGTATGTCTCCACTGCATCTGAAATTTATACAAAACTTAAACTAATGTTACCCTGAAACTATAAAATGTTTGAAAATTATGATTCCTGCGACAAATCTCATCTGTGTAAAAGTTATCCATATAGGGGTTATGTCAAAGTTGCAACACAATAAAATTGCCAGTTTTTGGTATATTGTATGAATTTAATGGACTTTAAATAATTTGAGTGTATGGAAACGAACCTGAGAGCACAGATTAAGTATACTTTTTTGTCTCATATTTAACATAATAAAAGTTATATACAAAAATAGAGTGGTGATCTGTCAGTTACCCCAACTGACTGTATACAAAATTTCAATCCTAAATGTTAAGAAAAAAAAGAGTTATAGATTTTTGAGATGGAGCGCACCGTTTGGTCCCATAGTGCGTCGACTCGCTCGCTCGTTCTCGCGCTTGAGTCACGGAACACGAAGCTCTGCTTGCGGCGATTAGGGACACCCGATATACAGATTTCGATACTTAAGGGGATATAGGTCGTTAGATACTTATTTCATTAGGTTTATCATATTTATGCCTGTTTCTTAACGCCAACCCAGTCGCTTCTTATTTTTATCACGGTTATTTCCCATTTTAATTTTACATCGTCCTGTTGCGTAATGTGTATTCTGATCGTAAGCGACACAACTTCTCCCTTCAAAAGCCTAAGTGATACTAACGGGGCGACAGGAATCAAGCTTCAAGACGCCGATAGTTTAGGTAATTTCTTTTTAGTGAAAATAATGGTATTTAAAAAAAAGTAAATAACATAAGCACTGCTTTATAGTTAGTTCAGTTAGTATGCAAAGTTTCATGATCTTATTTAAAGTATTTTAGGAATAACAGCGGTTTATTGTTCAGTTTGGAGGTAACTGGATTTTTTTTAAGAATCTAATTCAATAATATATGCCTTACATATTATCGAAAAATAAATAATATAAGGTTTTCACTTAAAAAACGAGAACTCGAGCGACAAATTTTTTCTGGATCAATTTTTTTTATTATATCGGTTAATATAATTTTAAAAATCATTAAAAAAAGAATTTATTAGAATATTTCAGTATGTGCATATTTTTCTGAGTATAATATACTATTTTTAGAACTATCAGTACTTGCGCGTCGAAAATACGATATTTTTTCCAAAATGGTCTTAAGCGACTGTGGCTATTACGAGACGATTTGGATAATATTTATCAACTCTCGCCGAAACAAACTGTACATCGAGTAGAAGTACGTCATTTTCATGTACAGTGTGTAGTGTGTACAAATAGGGTAATGTTGGACAAGGGTGTGGACGTGTGGCTGCTCTTACCTTGGTACTTGTCAGTGCTGGTGGCACGCGAGAAGCGCGGGCGGCGCGGCGCGGCCTCACCCTCCCCCGCGCCCCCAGCCCCGCCCCCGCACGACGCTGCACACACACACACACGCACGGCGCCATTCAAGCCACACGATACTACGATACCAAGGTCGGTATACTGACACCCAATCTCTATACCACAACTAACTACCTACCTACCCTATATTACTTTGCTAAAAGATGTAATCAGAAACTAAGACAAACAGTACGCCAACTGAAGGAACAGAAAGGAAGTGTGTATTTCTTGACTTAATGAGGTTACATATACACAAACATCTTTGACGGACGACAGCTCGCGTTATGCTAATGATTTCTTTATCTGTATATCTATAATTTGTCAATGTTGCCCGTCTAAAGACACGTTTTCAGTGCGAAATGTTCGCTAGAGCTACGTAAGGCGTCCGTTTAGCATGTAATAGTATTTACAAACAGCAGCAGTTGTCGTAAGTACAAGACTGGCTCACACACTAGTCGATTTAAGTGTAAGATCTCTTGAAGTGTAAGAGCGTGGGATGATAATGGTGAACATAATTCCACGTGTTTGGTCCGTCAGTTAATGGTTGTCTTCTATTGGATATTCACGTGTCATGCGCTTGCTACTCTGAATAATTGTCTTAATAGACGAAAAAAATAATTTCAATCTTCGTCATAATTAAATTTTTGAATGACTTTTTTTAATTGTATAGAGGTAGAGGTATTTATTTATTTATTTACTCTTAGAATCAATTTTTTAAAATAATCTCTATTTCATCACAGGTGTTGATTCGTTTTAAGGATCTATTAGTCCGTGCAGTTAGTAAAATATCTCACCTGACCCCTAATATTTTCTTGGACACAGTTCAGGTTCCAAGTAAACTAATTAGCTTAATAATTTATAATAAGAAAATTTTGTTAGGCTTCGGAGTTTTGGGGGGAACTTGACCGTCGACGTATTGTTGTGCCTGTTTTATCGTTTAAATAATGGTTTAAAGTGGATTTTCATGCATAAAATTAATGGGATTTTTGTATTAAGTGTGCGCAAGTGAACTATTACAGAAAACGAATAAACAAGTGCTTTGATGTTGACATAAACCTCAAATTATTTTGATCGCTTAGGCGCCTTATGAACTTAGGTGACTGTATAGATCGACTGTCCGTTGTGTCTGCTGTTGTCGACTGTCGGGTTGAGCTGTCGTGAAAATCTCCCAAAAAATTCCCAATGTAACGTATCAGCAAATAGTAAAGAAAAAATATATAACAACGAAGATCCCAAATGAAAATAAAACATGGCTTAAAGGACAAACATCCAAGAATTTTTTTTAATTAAATAAAAAAACTTGAAGCTTCAGGTTGGTATACTTGACAGCGTTCGTCTTTATCTTTAGGCTGATCTGCGAACTCTTTATAGCGGTAAAGATTAGAATTTACTTGCTGACACAACAAAAGAAAAAAAAATAATCCAGCTTGAAGCAAAGATAAAATTTGTAATCAGCAAGCAATATAAAACCTGTATAAATTGATGGTAAAAAGTTCCGTCACATAATTTTACTGTATTTTGATACATTTTTATAGTTATATTATTAAAATAAAATTTCGTGTATGACTTCGTCGATGGAAACCGATAAGCTCTTAGATAGCGTTTCGAAATAATATATTCAGTATTGGTTATTTTACTGTAAAAAAATACAGGGTATAATGACGAGGATTCTCCGTAGAAGGCCTATAAATTCTCTGCCTAGAACTATGGACGCGGTCACGGGGTAAATATTAAAAATATGGAAAAGAATATTGAACCGGATTTGTAAATAAATTGTCAGTTACCACACCATTATACATTTTGTTAGTAGGATTTATAAAAATTATCAGTAACATACATCAAAACTGTATATGTAGCTAAAAGTTTGATCTCAAGACATTTTCTTTTTTCATTGTGTATAATATGTAGTTTAGATTAGTTTAATTTTTCAGTTGACTAGCTTTCAAACAAATTAAAACCTGTTTAATAAACGATGAAGATCTTATTTTATCTCTGTTTGCCTTAGTTTTATAGTACATTCTTCCAGCATATTCTAGAACTGGACTAGGACTCTTAATTTGGTAGCTACATATGAAAATAAGAAGAAATTGGGTGACCAGTGTTATGTGGTGGGCGATAAATATTAAATAAATGATTATCGAAAATAAAGATGTTCACAAAAAATTTGGAAAACACCCAGCCACAGCCATGAATCGAGATGTCAATGTATTTGAAATAAATAAATACAATACATACAGCAAATAAATAGTTACAAATAAATACAATAATGAAGAAAATGTTACATAATATGCTAATTTTAAATGTAGGATTTTCTTAATTCTTTTATCTATAATGAAGTGTTAACGAAGTATAACGTCTTGAAATGTTCAAATCTTTCATTTTAAGTCTACATCATGCATCAGTCAGTCTCTACTGATTATCCAAAAAAAAAAAAAATTAAAATCGTAAACCGCACACCCTGTAATCTTCACACGTTCATGCTATTGACTAAAATTATACCAATATAGAATTATATCTACAGATGCATATTCTATTTCAAGTTGAAAAATAGTTAGTAGATTTTGCTACTCAGCTCTGCAGCCATATAAAACCTTATTTCCATTAAATTTAACATGCAAGTATTAAAGTAATACATTTTTTTGAATTTTGTATTTTAACACATTCACTGTCCGATTTTCAGTCAAAATGGTAAGACAATAGCAACGTATTATATGTAATGAACGGAACAGTGAAAACGTTAAACATCCCCCTAAATAAGAGGCCTCTGCCTCGCAATGGATTGACGGTAGGCAGATAGTGGTACTTTTAAAACTTTTAGTCAACAATTTACAATATATAATAAAAAATATTTTCATACAATACTCTTTGAATAAAACTACTTTTACGGATTTATCGCTTTTAATTCGGATGCTGCAACACCCATGGTCACCGGTAAACGTCGTATCTATCTTGTAAGCCCCGAAACGGGTTCACAACACAACCGTCGGGATTAAAAATGAGTAGGATTAAATGCGATAAAATCTGTAAAATTACTTTTATTCAATGTGTAGTGTTCGCGTAAATATAAGCAAATCCTTAAGAATATATGATGGGTGTGTAAGCACATCCTGTCCCAAACTAAAACTACATTAGGCCGATGTCTGCACACTGATCTGGACGCGTCAACGCCCATATATATTTTAATGGCAACAAGTTGTTTTGAATTACATTAAATTCAAGCCACCCCAGATCTTCATCGGATGGCGTTAAGTCTTAATCCAGGTCTTAATCCAATCTCAATCCAATGTATGATTTTACAACTTAGTTGTCGAACGTCATCGGGAACGTCTGGCGAATTTAGTGGCGAAAACGAAAATCATAACGGTTACGAAGTCAGAAGAAAGTCCTGTCATATAAAACATAAAATTGTGAGAGTACAGAGACATTGCCATGAAATTCTTTGAACTGTACTTTTTACATGTGAAAAAATACTGTAATACTAATATAATGTAATACATAAATAATGTGATGTCTTTTACGAGACTATTTTTATCGTTTTCACCAACTTTATCTCTTCTTATGTTATTTTGTGAATTCAATGTTTACTTTAGGTATTTTTTTTTCTATATTGAAGTGATTTGTCATCAATAAAATTGAAAATCAAAATTTTATTCAATTTTGGCTAACAGAAACAGCAAAAGAGCTCTGGGGTTTTAAGGCAAAATCAATGTAATGTAAAATTATATAATGTCTATTATTTTTATTATTTTATCAGTAGTTGACTTGCAAGTACAGAATAAGAGTTATTTCCGCACATTGTCCTCAATGTACTGACCTATTTTAGGCTTTTTATTAAAATTTCAGTGACAAGATTTTCAAATTTTATTTGCGATAGTTGCACTATATTTTTAGAGATTTCGATGTAGTTTTATGCATTTACTAAAAAACTATCTAGTAACCAATTTATCATTATCTAAAGTGTTCCTCGCAATTTCTTTTATTAAAATAAGTCTGCTTCAAAATCACCGTTTTCACACAAATTCACATATTTTTATCTCACTAATAACAGAAATGTTATTCATGATAATGAATAACAGAAACCGCGTGAAATGCGTGACACGCGTTGCGCGAGGCGCGTCGTATTGGTGTGTACATCAACCTTACACAAGTGCGTCGGCCTACTGTAGTTCTCGCTGAATTTTCTTTTTCACACACTTTGTGTACGTGTTGAGTGAAGTGCGCGCATGTGTATGAAAGTGAAGGTGTGTGTGGTGGTGCGGGGGGCGGGGTGCGGGTGCGGGTGCGTCACCTGGCGCGTCGTCAGCGCGGAGCGCGGGCGCGAACACGTCGTCGTCGCCGTTGAGCGCGTCGTCGCGCAGCAGCAGCGCGGCGCCGGGCCGCTGCGACAGCGTGAAGAAGTCGCCCGAGCCCGCGCCCAACGCCTCAAGCGCGCCCGCGCTCTCGAAGTACTCGTCCAGCACCAGTTTCGCAGTCTGTTTTCATTGCTTTGTTTTTATAAAATAATGGCACGAAAAGAGCGAACACCCACCTAGTCTACCTAAACATATATTTTAAATTATCTCTCCTCCTACAGACACCATCATCATCATTACAGCATAACGTTGCTGTGTTTCATATGGTGAGTGTAGAGAACTAGAGACTTCATTCAGAGATTCCATCTTAGTCCTTGCAATACATCTGCATTTTGATTCATAATCGAAGCTAGATGTAGATGTTGATAGGTCACAGCAACCACTTACTATCAAGTGGACTGTGTTTTCATTTGTCACCCTTTTCCTATAAAAAAAAATCATCTAATATACTTGAAATTTTGCAGACATATCATGAATAAATTACATTAAAAATCCTTAATTTTATTACTAAGATTAAGAGACCATATGATATATATGAGTTAAGAACACTATGCCTGTTATCACTGAAATTATCTGGCCACTCCTCTGCCTGATCCATGGGTATATACAAGAAACTAATTAGATTTATAGAAACTAGAAAGTATAACAGCTATTTACAATAACTGTTATACTTTCTAGTTTTCTAATTACAAATTGGACCCGTATGATTACTTAAACGTCTACAAAAAACTTTCTACATGTAGGAAACAGTAACAGTATGGAACAATAATAATTTGTGCTATCAACTACATGGTAATCAACATTAATGAGCTTATTGCATATTATTGTACATTTGTACAAGTGATTATACTTTAAAAATTGTAATTTATAACTTTGTAAGTTGTATTTCTATGGTAAATGCCGAACTGATTTTCTTATTTTTTATATATAATGGTGATATGAGAGCATGTAGCACGCTTCATAGAAAGTAGATTCTGTGGTCCACAGACCACCACCAATCAGACACATATCATTAACTAGGAACCTAATTGCAGATGTGTTATCAACCTTAAAGACAAAAATGGAATGGTTCATTACCAGCAAACTATTAACCACATATAATTCTTTTATATTAACAATGATTTAAATAAAGTCTGACGCTGACGTTAATATTTACTACTTGTACTTACTGCATACATAAATTTTGTTAAATTTTACATCATATATTTAAAAAATTAAATATAAATCTTATTAATTCATATTTGATGTTAGATTTATTATTATATTTTATACAGAGTTACAGGTTAAGTCGGCCTAGATCCTTTAGGGGTAGTAATTTGCATCATTACCGACTGTTTCAACTATGGGTATGGTGTTACCCCAAACTTAACCGCTTTCAAGATATTGGATATTTAAGTATTTTTTTTAAATAAATATTGCCAATTTTCTGTCTATTGTACTAATTTTTTTGTGATTTGTGCATCTTGTTTTATTTTTCTTGTAATTTTTGTGTAGTAGGGTAATTTGCTTCATTATTTTAAACACCAAGATCTTAGGTAAATAAACAATCTGGATCGCAGTGGACGATAGATAGTTGAAAAAGGAAATAAATTTGTACGAAGTATTTTTTCATTGAGGAATATTTAAAAAAATCTATGGCAGGTATGTTGTAGATGTACTTATAAAAATATCTTAGTTTCTTCAGCTATCCAACAAAGGTATAACAATATAGGATATTTAGATCGAAACTATCTTCTGTACTGGGTTCACTTTACGATTGTATTCGATGCCTTCCTTACCATGTTCGCCGTACAATTTATAATACTTTAGTCAAACCACATCTGGATTATCTGGTTGAAATTTGGGGTGCACCTACAAAAAACATTAAAGGACCTACAAATAAGCCAAAATAAAATATTAAAACTATTATTTAATTATAACTTCTTTACACCTACAGACAAACTGTACAGTGAAACTAAAATTATGAATATTTATCAAACATATTACTATAATACCTGTATTCTAATAAAGAAAATTTTAGATAATAAAATACACACACAATTAAAATTTGTAACAAATAAAGGCAAAGGAAAGAAAGTACTTCGCAACACTAATAATATTTACATAACTATGGTACAAACAAACTATGGTAAGCAGAGTATACTTTTTGATGGAGTTAAAATATATAATAAACTACCACAAGAAATAAAAATATTAAATAGTTTTAACATCTTTAAAAGCAAACTAAAACAACATAATATGATGAATAAATTCTAAATCCGACCCTGTCCATATGCCGACCGCTAATCAGCGTTAATCGGTAACGATAAGAAATACCTTATTTACTACCCACTTTATTAACTTGTATTCTAAAAGATTGGTAACTTGTACATCACAATACACAAAAAGATAATATAGGAAGTATTAAGTTGTATGCCTAAACTAGTAAGAAGTTGTATGTCACGAAACTCTTTCCTTCCTTTTTAATGTTATAAATGTATATATATATATATATATATATATATATATATATATATATATATATATATATATAATCTGCTCATATAACCCATTTATAACTTGAATATTGTAACTTCTCATTAAGTGAAATGTATATTTCTTTTGAGAATAAAATATCTTTAACCATATTACCAGAATTCCTAGAGAAAACCTAGGATAGAAGGCTCACAGGTGGTAGTAAAAAGTAACGGTGCTGGGTGTTCAACAAGCCATTTCGGTGTTTTTGTGTTTAGTTTATTAGTCTACAACGTGATTCAAATGTAGTAGACGCGATACTCAATGCATTCTATTTCCTTCTCGGCTTGGCTTATAGGTAGTTAAGTTTAGTTTACGACGGGCTATTTTCCGCAACTCCACGTCTATTTTACGTGTGGGCAGGAATAATGTGATTATTCGAGCCAAGAAATATCCCCGAAGAAGTTCAACAGTCTTTTGACGATACAAGCAACTTCGGGAGCAATCCCGGCGTGCCATGATGTTTAGCCCTGTACGAAGCGACTTCCGGACATGTCACCAATACGTGAGCCGACGTTTCTTCCTCCCCCATGCATGCTCTGCACAGGAGGCTATCTGTAACACCTATGGTAAATAAATGTTTATTAAATGAGCCATGTCCTGTGATAGCACTTGTTACTATCCTGTTATATCTATGGCTTGTTCAGTCTCATTACAATCTCGATTAGACGACCGTTTATTTCCGGTATGGCCTCCCTAGCTTGTCTACAGTCTACTAGATTTTTCCAGAGCTGAGCGTGTAGATTATTGAAGTTTCTACGTACCAGTGAACAAACATAACCAAAGGAGATTGGTATTATAGGTTCCGGCCCCATAGTAGCCAGAGCAGATTCCCTTCTGGCCAGTTCATCTGCTGCAGCATTGCCTCTGGATCCACTGTGCCGCTTAATCCATTGCAGTCACATTATTGTGTTTACATACCTCATTTAATTGTTGATGGCATCCATATATTAGCCCCGAGTTCACCACATTACAACTTAGAGCTTGTAATTCCACCATACTGTCGGTCAGTATTCTGATGGTGAAGTCTTTTACCTTCCTAGGATCTATTGCTATGGTCGCTTGGATGATACCCATACATTCCGCCTGAAAGACTGTGTTATGGGTACCCAGCAGTGTACATATTATGTGGATATTAAGGTCTTAAGAGAAAGTTCCAGAACCTACACCTTCATTTGTCTTAGGACCATCCGTGAAAACTCTAAGATCTTTTGGGTTTAATCCCTCCGGATGGTTGGTTTTATTAAAATGTATCTTATACTTTATATTGAATACAAATTGTTTGGGATCAGATTGTACTTGGCTTGTAAGATAGGAATTTTTGAGTAAATTCTATCAATTATACCCGTATTACGGACTCTACTCTTACTTAAAAGATTTAAGGTCTTGAGTCAAATGGTAGCTAAAGTTGCTTCTTATTGTATGAGTAGATGAAGCGGGGTTAGCTCCAGTATAGCCTCTAAAGTTGCTATTGGTGTAGTTCTTATGCAGACTGTGGCAGCCATACATGCCAACCTCTGGTAATGATGATGCTTTTTTATAGTGGTGGCTTCATTAATTTGGGTCCACCATACCAGAGAGCCATATATGAACATGGGCCGAATTAGTTTTGTACAGCTACAGTATAATATTTGGCGTTAAACCCCATAGTTTGCCATCATGTTTCTGCATTGCCAGAAAATTATACTAGCTTTGTTGATTTTGTTTTCTATGTGTTTATTCCAGTTGAGTTTACTGTCCAAGTTCAGACCTAAGTATTTTGCCTCAGAGGATAGCTGGAGTTTTGTGTTGAAGACTTTGGAGATGATAGTTATTCAGCATTAGTTTTTGTGTGAACACTACTAGAACCGTTTTGTTAGGATTAACGGTGATGTCATATTCCCTGTACCATTTCTCCACTATACAGAGAGCCGCTTGGGTCAGGTCGCACATCATGCTTGCATCTTAAGACTTGGCTTGTATTTCCAAAGTTTGGGGTATGGTGTTTCATAGTCGAAACAGTTGGTAATGATGCAAACTACAACCCCCCAAAGGATCTAGGTCGACTTAACCTGTAACCTTGTAGAATATACAAAATTAAACAAGTATTTAATAATTAAAACTTACTTTAACAAGATCCAAATTGTTACCCGTGATCTTAATGGAATGTTGGCCAAAAGTCACAGTATACTTATACTCTCCGAGTGCTGCATCATTTGTGGAGAAGCTATGGAGTAAGGCTCGAGTGTTGTTGTGAGGAGATTTCTGGAAAAAAATAAACGAAATAAATGTAGTCTCTAGAGAAGTAACAATAGAACTGAAGTTAAATCTAATCAGATCAGATGTAAAATTAGCTTCCACCATAGTTAATTTTGTTTAGAAAATACCCACACCTCTTATATATATATACAGAAAATTTGAAACATGCCTACTGGAAATACATAATAAAAATAAAACTTAAGAGACTTTTTAACAAGCACACGCACACGCACACGCACACGCACACACACACAAATAAATTTACTTAAAATTTCTGGACAGTCAATAACACCACTAATAATTTTAGAAGCAAGAATCAAATCAATAATATCCCTGCGGTTTTCTAGAGAAATCATTTTGAAATTGATCAAATTATTTTCATATGATACACGCTTCTTATTACTTCTAAATCCGCTTGCGTATAAATGTCTTATAAATCTTTTTTGGATCTGCTCGATTCTCAGTGAATGTGTAGCGTAATGAGGTCTCCAGACTACAGCACAGTACTCTAATATAGTTCTTACCAAACTGTTAAATAAAAGAATTTTAATTTTAGCACTTCGAAAGACTTTGATATATCTTATGACAAAACGCAACATTCTAGATGCATGTTTAGTAATGTTTTCAATGTGGGGTAAAAAGTTATTTTTTATCAAATATGACCCCGAGGTCTCTAATTTGGTCTAACTGCTGTATTTTATTACATCTAATGTGATGATAGCTATAGTCGATAGTGTTACTTTTTCTCGCATATTGCACATAGAAACATTTACTAATGTTTAAGTCCATACGATTTACTTTGCACCATTTAAGCAGTTGATCAAAATTGTTCTGTAGCTTTATTGAATTGTTCTCTTCCACAAACGTCTTGCAAATTTTTAAGTCATCCGCATACAAGTACACATGAGACCATTTCATCAATTCTGGAATTTCATTTACGAACACCCCAAACAGAATCGGTCCAAGATGAGACCCTTGGGGCACACCAGAATTAATATTTTTTAAACCTGTCTGATATCCATTAACCACTACAAAAAACGCTCGGTCCTTTAAATACGATTTTAGCTATTTTAACATACTACCAGTAATGCCGTAGGCAGCTAACTTACTAACCAATATGTCATGTGGGACCCGATCAAATGCATGGTAAGATCAGTATATATTACGTCGACTTGTTTCCCCGCATCAAGTGCTGCAATTAGTATTTCCGTAATATGTACCAAATTAGTGCTCATAGACCTAGATTTAACGAAACCATGTTAGCTAGTGCTTAAGTAAAGATTGATATGTCTCTGAATATAAGGACAAATAATTGACTCCAATAATTTAGCAAAGACTGATAGTATAGAGATCGGCCTGTAATTTCTTACATAATCCTCACTGCCCGTTTTATGAACCGGAACGATTTTCGCTATTTTCCATAGAGTAGGAAACTGCCCAGTACAAAGAGAAAAATTGAATATAATTAATAGTGGATTAACAAGGTGTTCAACACATCTGACTACAAACACTGGAGGGATTCCATCAGGACCTGCTCCTTTATTACATTTAATGCTTTTTAATTCATTTAATTTCAAGGACTCTGAATGGTCATAAACATAATCCTGCTCTATACATTTAGTATTTTCAGAGTACACGGATGAAAAGTGTGAAGAAAAAAGTTCGCAAGTTTCCACTCCATCAGAAATTACCGTCGGACCGTCAGTCATTGATAGGGGATAGGCGCCTGAACCACCACGTTTCGCCTTGACAAAAGAACAAAACAGTTTTGGGTTCTTTGCTATGTCACACTCTATTAGTTTTATATATTTGTTGTAGCAATTTGTGGCCATATGCGTACATCTTTTACTTAGCAATTGCAGTTCAAACTCATCTCTAGGATTTTTCTTGTGACGACACCTAACTTTATACCTTTCTTTTAGAGTTCTAATTAGATTATTAAGGTATATCAAATATATTTTCAAATCCACATACTTTTACAGATATTAAGAGCTTGTCTTTTCATAACAATAACAAAGCGTCACATCGCGTTATACTTATATGTGGTAGAGCCATGCTGCAATTAGTAGTATAGTTGTAGCACGAATGGGTCGGCTCGACCAGAGAAGGACCACGCTCTCACAGCATACCAGCGTAAAATAGTAGCTTAATGCTGCTGTGTTTCGTATGGTGAGTGTAGAAAACCGGTGACCCGTTTTACTGGAAGCGAGGCATTCCATCTTAGTCCTCAAGAGTGACAACGCATCTGCATTTTGATTCGTAATCGAGGATGGATGTAGATTTCTATGGATCAAAGCAACCACTTACCATCAGGTGGACTGTGTTCCCGTTTGTCAACCTATCCTATAAAAAAACCTGTAATGCTTAACAGGTTAGAGTCTATAGAGCAACAAAGTACTCAGATGATTTAAATAAAACTAGTTTTTACAGGTTATATTATTGATATTGTTGTTAAAATGTATGATTTTTTTTCTTTCCTTAGATTTTTAAGCAATTTAACTAACAATGATTCTATAGTAATGTTATGTTACTAACCAATTTATGGACTCTTGTCTGAAATAAAGTTTATTATTATTATGGGGTATATATATAGTTTTCTCATCTGGTTGGGTTCTATAAATATATAATTATAAATTAAAATGAAAAGATAAATATACATAAATATCAATAAAATAAAATAAAAATACAAAAAATGCATAAATAAAGATCCAACCAGATGGAAGCCCTCGGCAGGGGAGACCAGACGGCCGAGGGTTAGGAGGAAAGGGAAAGAAACCGGCGGAAGATGCGGGCGGTATCGAGGAGCACTGCCTTCTGCATTTGAGCCCGGAGCGGTCCGTCACGGAGTCCCAGTTGCCTCAGATGTCCCGAGAGGCTGAATGGGATTAGCCCATTCGCAGACACGACTACAGGAATAATTTCGGCCGGCAGACCACCTCACATGTCAGTCACCTCGTGAGCCAGGTCCAGATATTTTGTTCTCTTATCTGTTTCGGCTTTTACGAGGTTCTGGTCATACGGAATGGTAATGTCGACCAAAAATATTCTTGACTGTGCCCAGTCCATCAGCACAATATCAGGCTTATTCGCAAGAATAGTCCTGTCTGTGATGATGGCCCGGTCCCAGTAGAGCCTAGCGCGGTCATTTTCGAGCACGACTTCCGGCAAGTACTTGTAATATGGCAATTTCCGGTCCACGAGACCGTATTTCAGAGCGAGCTCCTGATGTAGAATTCTGGCTACTAGGTTGTGTCTGTGCAAGTACTCAGAGTTAGAAAGCGCCGAACAACTGGAGATGACGTGCCTAAGCGACTCACCGGGATGGCGACAAGCTCGGCAGACGTCGACGGTGCCATCCTTTAGGATGTATCTCCGATAGTTGTTGGTCTTAATAACCTGATCCTGTATTGCACAGACAAAACCCTCGGTTTCCCCGAATAGGTCACCAAAACGTAGCCAGTTGAGGGAGGCGACTGTATCTACAAAGGGCTCATGTAGAACCCTGTAGTACCTCCCGTGGAGCTCCTTCTCCCTCCATACGGCCTCTTGGTCGGAAATGCTAAGCACTGCTGGGTCTTGCCATTGCTCGTTGGCTAAGGATAGAGGGCTAAGCCCCTTATCACTAGAAATGACGTCATTATAGAATGGATCATCCGATCTCGCCAGGAAGTAATGACGGAGACTGCACACTTCACGATTATGCATAGTGAATGCGCTCAGAAATATTATTATTATTATATCACGTATATTGGGGGGACTGAGGTGTTCGACTTCCATATGTCATAGTAATCTTGGCTACCACCAGATTAAAATTACAACATAATTTTAGCTGTTTACTGGAGGTAGCCATGGTTAACTATGACATTAGAACGTCGAACACCTCAGTCCCTCCCATGACCATGGGTGCTGTAAAGTGCTCGAAACGTCGGGAATATAAAATAAGTTAATATATGCGATATAATCCGTAAAATCTAGTTTTATTTAAATGTGTAGTCTTCGCGTAAACATAATAAATTATTACTCAGATGATGTTTAGCTAAAACTATGAGTTTCTCCAATGTATTTTAGAAAAGTAAACCCAAGCAATCCAGCTAGTTACTTATGCAGCGTCTGGTACTATAGTCATTTGTTAACCAAGTATGAAAACAGAAAATTATTTTTGATTTATAGGGACTTCCGACCAGCGACAAACTTACCTCACGCGTGCTAATACGCGGCGCGTCGTCAGAACCGTTAGAGTCAAGAGAAGCTCGTGAACCAGCTAGCGCGCCATCCAATGTTCCTTCCAGCCTCACTGGCGACGCATTGCGGCGAATAGTATCCCCAATCAAATGCTTCGCGTGGCTGCATCATAGCAATAAATATTTTTAAATTATGTAATCTATCCATCATCTTGAGTGCTATAAATCACCCAAAATGTCGGGAATTAGAAATAACTTATAATAAAAAATAGTTCTTTGTCAAAGTTTAAGTATAATCATAGTACAATAACTTCACTTCAAATTGTAAAATCTTTATCATAACAATTCCTTAGTCTATATCAATAATATGAAACCCAGAAACAAATCTTTAAATAATTTCCTTATTATGAAAAAAGTCATAAATACACCTTGTTTATTTTAAAAGAATTAAAGTGGAAATAAAAGTACACAAAAATATTTAAGGTATAAAAAAAATGTATTTTTGATAGATTTAAGTGCACAAGAATTTCAGTCAATATTCATACTTTTAATACTTAAATTGTTTTTAACAAGTTTAATTTTTACATGAAGAATTTTTCATTATTTTAAACTGTTATTAGTATTTTATTTCTTATACAATTATGCTAAACTGAAGAACTAAATAAATTGTTTTGAGTTAAACTTTTCTAAAAACTTTTTTTGTACAGAACAAGGGTGACAAACAAGCACACAGTCTACCTGATAAGTGGACGCTGTGGCCCGTAGGCATCTACATTTATCCACAATTAAGAACCAAAATGCAGATGCATTGCCACCCCTCAGGACAATGGAAATTCCTGAGGAAGATGGAATGCCTCATTACCAGTAAAAAGTGTCTATGGTTCTCTACACTCACCAATTGAAACACAGGAGTATTGAGCTACTTTTTTAAGCTGGTAATCTGTGAGAGCATGGCCGTTCCCCAGTTGAGCTGACCCATTTGTGCCACAATCATAATATGGCTTCAGCATGGCTCTACCACACACAACTTACAACTATTGTTATGACACTAGTTATCTAATAAGATAAGACGAATATGTGTAATCAATTATTTTTACTTATTTATCAGCTAGTTAATTGTATAAATTGCTTTTATGTTAAATACTGGCTTTCAACTAAACATTGTGCTGTCAAACACAGGTAATGTTACATCAACCTATACTTAATAAGTAATCATTTAAACCAGACCAGACAATTTTATACTCACTTAACATTTTCTTCATTTGGACCCGTGATTTGCACAAGCCTCTCCTTGGCACCAGGACTCACTAAAATGATATCAATTTTGTCTTATTTTATGAAAATAATTTCAACAAATGTTAGTAGAATTATGTTAATACTTGATAAAGCTGGAAGCTAAATGCGATTAATAGAAAATTATATATATAAAAAAATATATATATATATATATATATGTTTATTATGGATATCACTCTGTATGTATAAACCAAACCATGAACTGCCCTCAAATATTTTTTAAAACCATTCAATGGCTTTAAAAAATATTTGATGTTCAATGTTAGTGAACAGTTAAATTTAATTATAATAATTATGCACACATAGAACAATATGGTATAAAATGTTTTAGAAAGAAAGCATTAAGTAGTAGTAGATGAGAATAGAGTATCCGCCACACCATGCACAAGCACCTCCCAGTCCGCACCGTGCATTCATACCTCGCTGAAATGATATAATCGTGTCACTTATCTCCTCAATCATGTGCACCCGTCTGCCCTTGATACCCATCACTGCAACACCACAACACATGATCAACTAACCGTTTTTATGTAATATTTTGCACACTCATTCTTGATGTTTATTAAGGAATAATAATAATTTATTACGAGCACAAATTAATAAGTCTTAAATTTTAGACCAAAATCATAAAAACACCATTACAAGAAACAATAGTAAATTTATATCAATATAACAAATTCTGTTTGTATTTGATTTCATTTCACAAAAAAACTACAAAACAAGAAACTAATTACATGCACGGAAATATCTACAAACTTCAATTGAATAAATAAGCCTTGAAACTTGAAACAGAATAAGCTTATTGTTGATGCCTTCATGCACTGTTTACATGTATTTATTGACATTACTCAAAGTAATTCTCATGCAACAATACAGACAATATGATAAGACCTATAATGAATTATGTAACATTCTCTAGAAATCTATAATACCTTTTCCAGAATCAGCATTTCTAATGACAACCTCATCCTTGGAATAATTCTTGCCAGGTATTTTTGTTGGCTTAGGAAATTTACCAGAAGTCTTGATAACTTCACCGGGGCCTAGCAAGGTAGGTGGCTCGGCAGGCGCAGCCAGCGTTGGTGATACCGAGCCACCTGACCCAGACCCTTCCATTGTTGGAACTAATAGTGGCTGAAAAGTTAAATCATTCTAATTTAAAGAAATTGCCAATAATAACATAAAAATATGCAAATAAATGTATATACACATTATAAATATTCAATATAAAAAATAAAAAGAGAAATGATTAATCATAATAATCAGTCATTGTACAACATACCTCAGCATGAGTGCCACGATGCCTATAATATTGGCTCATGTAATCAGATCCTTGCCAATGCTTAGCACGTAGCTCTATTAACTCGAGAAGATGGAGTCTAGTCTTTTTATCTAACCTTTCATCTTGGGAACCATTACGGAACACAACAAAATACCTAAAATAAAAGTAAATATTCAATATTCAGTTCAACAACAGCTAGTTACAGAAGAGAAAGTTTAATATGACTGACCTATCAAGAAAGTCCTTATATAGGGCTTCAAGTTGTGCACCATAGAGTTTTAGGTTAGAGTACATAGTAGCTACATTGCTCTGAAGAGCACGGTCAAAATTGCCCTGCATCATCTGGTAAGCCACACCTTCCGTCAACACTATTAAATCATCAACTGCAAATGTTATAATACAGATTTTCATACCTTTGTAAAACATATAATAAAATAGCACTCTATAAGGTAAAATTAATAAGATTAAAAACTATTTTGTTTTTGTTTACAAACAAGAGTGTAGACAAGGATTGTGTATAAATTACTTACCAGAATTAATTTTCACATCCAATACAGAGTTACGGTTGTGTGCGGAACTGGTTGTCGATTTTAGGGGTCTGGGCACCTCAAGTTTTTTAACCGTGCGGGTCATTTTCGTTAGGGTCGACATGGTGCTGCAAAATTATAACATTATATGTAATAACTTGCCGCGCTTATTGGCACCGCAATTATAAGTAAGCGGTGACGTGATAAATAGTGATACTTAAAAATTTTGTTTAGGATATTAGTGCCTAACCTTGTGATAATTTATTCATGTGAAACAATGAAACAGGAACATAAGTATTAACTAAATGAGCAACTCACTCATCCATGGCGGGAAGCCTATACAGTTTAAGAACACCAAAACCAATAATGGAGCAAAAAGCGTGAAAAGTGAAAGTGATGACAATGATCCTAGCGAATAAATTCGGAACAAATCCAATACGTGTTCATTACTCGTAGAATTAGTTTTTCGTGGAATTAAAACGGATAATTAGCTGAAAAAATTTTGACTGTGAAGAGAATAAATACTATGCTCGTCAAAAACATTTAGAGAAAACAATTGAAAACCATAGAACACGACGAAATAAGAAATAAACAAGAACACTCACCTGGCTACGCCATTAATTCGCAATAAAAATAAATTTTGTCTAGAGATGTGCATCAATATCTATAATCTGTAATCTGTATTAAAAATAAAAAATAAACATACAATAACCACCACCACTTTTTACATATATGTATTTTAAGATTTTATTTATATCGAATGAGTAAACATTACACACATTTATAAGTATTAAAATTAAATAGATAAAAAATTAACCGATAAACTTGGATAGTAAAATAATGTCGAGTACAACCCTATGGCATTGTCATTGCCAGTTATAATAATTGGATAACCGACCGATTATTTGCAAGAACTTTGATCTGTATGACTGTATATATGTCAAAGGACAAAATCCCACAAATTAAGACAAGTTTTTATTGAGACTTACAATTACATTTTAATATGAATAGATAAATAAAATATTAACCTAATCACAACTGCATTTTAGACCGCCTTAACTCTATAAACTCTATAAAACAATTCACAATAGAGTTAGAGGCAAATAATTATTTAGCTTTCTTAGATGTTTTAGTTATCCGAAATCCTGATAACAGTATAAGTCACACCTTATATAGAAAAAAGACCCATACCAAACGATATTTAAATGCTGAATCTCAACATCATCCTTCACAGTTAGCTAGCGTAGGTGAATCTTTGTTTCAGAGAGCCCGAGGGATCTGTGACAGAAAACATCTGGCCGCCGAGCTTCAGCACGTCAAGCAAGTATTGCAAGACAACAAGCTTCGGTTCCCGCGCCTACGTTACAGTGACCGAGTGAAAACGGCCACAGTCGAGCGTTTACCTGCTGTACTACCGTATGTCATGGGAGTCACGGACAAGGTTGGCTACATCTTGAAGCGAGCTTCCATTAAAACATACTACAAGCCGCCGAAGAAGATTAGTCAATTTTTTACCATCCATCAAATGTTATTTTCCTCCACAAGAGAGAAGAAGAAGAAGAGTTTGTGAATGTGCTAACAAGCTAGATTGTGAATGTGGTATCTCTTACATAGATCAAACAAAAAGATCTACAAAATCCCGCGTGAAAGAACATATAGCAGACGTGAAGCATCGACGCTGCGGGAAGTCTGCAGTCAGTAAACATATTCAAGATCGTCCCCGCCATTTAATCAGACTTAATAAACCACAAATCCTCGCAAAAGAATACCGATTCATAACAAGGAATACACGAGGCTATTGAAATTAAAAACATCCTAATTTCAATAGAGAAGATGGATGGGTGCTTCCATCTGCTTGGGGTCCTATAATTAACAAAATTAAGCCCAAACCCAAGCATACCACTCCAAGACTTCAAGATACTGTCAGCTCGTTCTGCATAGACTTGACCAAAAATTTATATTCTAAAACTGAAAGTAGCCGGGCTAACTATGGCATTGGGACGTCAAACATCTCAGTCCCCCCGTGACCATGGGTGCTGTAAAGCACCCGAAACGTTTAGAATTAAAAAATACGTACCTAAATTAAACGTGATGGAATCCGTATTATAGTTTTATTCAAATTATTAACCTCAAGTACTAACTAAGTACATCAAATAATAAACATATTATATACCTATTCCCTTCTGTAAGCGAGTTAATTAGGTCACATAATATATGAAATAGATTAAGTCAAGGAGAGATAAATTACCTATTAGCAAATAATTCAAAGGTATTCAGCGTTTTGACATTGTCGCGGAGAGTAGCCCCGTTTGTTAATTTTAGTTTTTGATACAATTTATATCGAGTATATAACACAATGACGACAAATTCAGAGTAACGCAAAAAAGGTTTAATATTTCCTTTACCAAATTGTGTGTATTGGCCTCAAACTTTAGCAAATGCTCTAAGAAAGAAGAAATTTTTGAATGTTTTATTTTTCGAATTTCATTTATTTTTATGTCTTTTGAATTTGAGGTATAGTTCCTAAAGAATCTATATCTGCAACTGGACATCGCCGCGTGTGTTTTATGCTTTTCTCGCCCAAAGGCTAAGTAGTAGGACTTTATGATAATTTAAGTTTTTAGTATTAGTTATTGAATTATAGTTTTTTAATATCGTATACATTTCAATGTAATATTAAATACTTATAGTTTGGCAACATTACAATGTCAAATATCAACTATGAGCAAAAGTCAACGTCAATGTCACATTTGGTATTTCTGTATATATTACTCTACTCTATGGTATTGTATAATGACGGCGCTCATGGTGGTGGTTGTGTTTTGGTATGTCGTATGTATTATGGTGTAAAGTGAAATGTGTGCTAACTATGCGTATTTATTTCATCACAAACTTTTCAAGAGTTTGAAGTGGTTGTGTACATGCAAAGTGATTTGATCTTATTAAAAATATAAACGGTATGTATTTTTTACTTCGTGTATATATTTTGTAACATTTATATGTACCGGATATTTTTACCTCATAAATCCATAGTACGTTAAACTGGTTCTCATAAAACATATAATTAAATAATATTTTGCCAGTGATTATGAAGCAGTGTTGGTTTTAATATATTTCATTGGGGTACGGATAGTTATTCCGTTTTTGTTTCGCTTTTTATTTTTACTTAGTATATAGTTGCTATATAATACTGTATGTTTACTTATATTTTCAATATTAAATAACGTTAATAAAATTGCCGTTTGAAATACATCAATTTCACAAAGTATAAACTTTCGAGATATTGTGTAGCTATATAATATTGGGAATACATTTTTTATAATACTTATATATACATTTATTTATAATACATTTTTTTTTAATTTTTTTTCAGCTACCAATATGCACAAGTACTACCTCACAGTAATATTAGTGCGGCTGGTACTGCCTGCAGGGCTTTTACTAGGTAAGTGGTATTTTTATTTTAACTTATTAACTAATACAGCAAATATTTTCATATTAATAATGCTAATTATCCAAGCGTTTCATTTAATTGTTTTAGTTAATAGGTACATACAATCTATTAATATGTAATAAATAGGCACTAAATTAAACAATAACCATCAAGAGCTACTTACTATAATATTTACTCAAGTCCTTTTAACTCTCTTTCATAATAATATATTTCTAATTGCTTATTTTAGAGTTTTTTAACAGAATGTATGTTGATTTTTTACCATACTTTGTATGAAATTAAAATTTTGTATACTTACTAATTTTTTTTTGTATTCAAAATTTCAACTAATACTATGCAAATAAGCCATTCATCTTGATTCTTATTATACAATACAATACAATATTATATGCTCTTTTTAGAAATATGTTCTACTTTCATTATAATTCTTTTGCAGACCAATTATATTTATAAATCTAATAATAGAAAAAAAATGCCTTAGATGCCTTATGATGTGCCATTGCCTTTGCATAATTTTCAACATCTCTTCATAACAATACATAAACTCTAAATTACGCGTGAGATCGCGTTATTTTTTTTTAAATAAATATTTTCAGTTGTTTAAGTAACAAGTAATAAATCTGTTTTGATAAATGGTTACCAACTATAAATAAAATTAAAAAAAAAAACACAAATATGCCCTGAACGTATATATTAGTGTTGTACCTACGCTCTTAAAAAATCTTTGATCATGTCTCGAATTTATATCGCCGTCGCTCGAGGTATTTTTTTGGGCAATTAGCAACCCTGTTGATGTCACTTAATATCGTCGCATTGCGGTCGAATAGTACATAGTATCCCTTGAGGCGCGCCAGTTTCAGGGTGCGTCCTCGCGATTCGTACTGTGACCTGTTGACCGATATGCCCTAGCGTTACGAAAGAGCCCTTCGATTGCTTCAATTCCAAATTTGCATGCCCTTTGTATCACGCGACCTAAACTTGAAATTTTATCACAAAATTGTAACGTTACATGTGGTTTTATCACCGGGATACTAATGTTTATTTTATAAAATAATTTAGCCAACTTCATTCTGTCTGCAAAATGATCATTTTTGGATTTCGGTTATAAAGAATTGAGTGTTTGGCAGAATCGCCATACAAAGCGGGTTGATGCTGATCAAAGGTGCGAAACGTCGAACCTTTTATCGTACGGGATTCTTTAAGTCTGTGAAACAATGTAATTATTCATTCATATGTTTAAAGCTATAAAAGTTCTTGACGTTTCCATTATGGTTCGGCTTTTTTATAGAATCCTTATTTTGCCAAGCCAAGTGCCTAGCGAGCACACAATCCCTATTATTGTAAATCATCATCAACCTCGATTAATAATTAAAATGCAGATGCGTTGTCACCCCTGAGGACTAAGGTGGAATGTCTTGTTACCAGTAAAAAGGGTCTCCGGTTCTTTACACTCACTATTATATAGTCTTCCGTGAGAGCGTGGTTCTACCCCGGTCGTTATTTATTATGTTAGTACAAGAAACCTTTCCTTCTTTCTCTATTGATTATGCGATAAATATAGTCGTTTGGAAAGACTTGTTGGTAATCTCAACATTAATTCAAATTTATAATATATTTTGCAACCAAATTTACTGTCGCAAATCTGAACATATCTTGAGTGAGTTGCGTATGTTGAAAATGCGTGTTAAGTTGTTCGTAGTGTTAATAAAATTTTGCTGAACAAGAACGAGATTATTAGATAACGAGATTTCATTAAAATCTTGACGAAATTACAGTACACAGTTCACTGCTCCGTGGGGCTACAAACACCATGATAGTGAATCATAAATCATAATAAAAAAAATTCGTCGTTTCTACAAAACCATAAGGCTAAATTACCGAGTTTATCATTTTCATAAAAAAAAATGATATTTTTAGTAAAACTTAGAGAACGCATAACTGTGCTTACAACACAACAATGCGCGCACTCAGCCCTGAATTAGGTAGTTAAATTGTGTAATCTTGAAGAATTTCGAAACACAAAAGGTATATTTCAAAAAACGCCTGGATATCATAAAAAATTCGCTCTGTCATATAGAGCAAGTTAATGTAAAATGCAACTCGAAGATCACTAATAACTGGAGCGTTTCATTAGAAACAGCGACGAATTTAGGAAAAATACAACTGTGAAGGAACACCGCTATGTTTAAAAAACGAATACGTTG